TTATGGGTTTTATCAGTAGGTTGTTAACTCTCTAAAACAGCGATAAATTGTTACATATTTAGAGCTAAATGAGAGGGTACAATGGTGTGATTGACTTTCTTACTGACGTAAACATGCCGGCTCCAAGAGTTTCTATTTTCTAAGGCTAGATTGCATAGTAATTTTGTACATCTTTATGTGAAAAACCCCCTTATGTATAGTAAATTATACTCATTTTCATACTGTTCTTAGAAACATCACTTATCATAATGGAAAAGGAAGGTTTTACCATCACCTTAGTTTTCTAGTATCAACTATGTACATTTAAATCCTTAAAAGTCCTTAAAATAGAAAGACGAACAAAACGTTAGTCTACGCAGTAATCCTCGTAATAAAGGCAGTTTATCTGAAACCTTCAACCCATACCATCTCACTACCGGGATACTTACGGTAGACCGGAGGTAAACTACTTGAACTAAGTATACAATAAACAAACAACTGTATACTCAGTAGCTATCAGATAACGAGGTGATAATAGTGATCTAACAGTGATAAAAACCAATCAGCATACAAGTAGGCCAGGGTGTAACAAAGGACGGCGAGGGTATAAAGCAGACCTCACCAACTATCGACCAATGTCACTTCTGTCGGTGTTTGGAAATATTTTAAAAATCGTTCCACACCGCTGTTGGAGATAGAATGAGTTGCTATTTAAAGTTCAAACATTATTTAAAGGTTCTAACTAGCTTGTTTGCCGTGTGATTGAAATAATTCAGTTTTATTCCACAATTTATGTGTTTATAAATTTATTTTATTTTATTTTCCGATTTTAATTTTAATAGAAAGAATACTTGAAGATTATTGTGAATGAGTGAACTAAATAACAGGTTTTAGGACCTACTACGAAAGTTTATCGACGAGAAAGGGGGATATTTGCTCTCTGAAGTTTATTATGGAGGAATATACATTTTAGGAACGGTTTAAATATCATACTATTAAAAATGACCCTGCACAATAGTACCTATCCTTTGTTGAGTTTAAATACACCGGTGGTATTTCTAAAAAGGTGTTATACTATCATGACCGTGGCCTTGGTTATTTTGTACACAGGTTGCTTCACAGTAATGAATCGTGTGGAAAAACGCTGTAAATGTCAACTTTAATATTGTACTACGCAGTTAACTGTTAATTTGTCTATCGTTACGTCACGTAGATCTATTAGAGTTTTGTTATTACTCGTCGTTGTTGTTGTTTTCTCTGAAAGATTTATTTTTGGTTAGAATGTGAAATGTTCCATGACATGTTTTAGCATTTTCTAGTTAAGAATTTGCCGTAATAACAATTTTGATACATTTCAACTGCTGATACTATTATAATGAATTATTCCACCTTGAGTATGAAAAGATATATATATAAAAATAGAGTAACTGTTGAGCAAATAAATGTATCATATCCTCACCTACCCAAAAACTATTCCTTCCAACTTGAACAAAATCCATCCACTTAAAGCAAAATTGTCATAACCATCCACAACTCTTAATTAAAAAATACTTTTATCCAGCATATGGTTCTACCATTGAATATTAAAGGTTCTACTTAAGAAACAATTTTCTGTTACCTCCATATAAGTAAAATTCAAAGAACACTCACGTCACCTGCAATTAAAGCTTTTGTAAATAGCTCACATGGTAATTACTGCCAGCATTGACCCATATAAAACAGCTGTACAAGGGGTCTAGCATGGCTAATCAGCGGCAAGGTCTAGGTAGTGCGGAACCGATTGTACGTAATTAAACATACTTGAGAAACTCCGTGATTGGAATGCCGAAACTCTACTGGTATTGATAACCGGGTATAGGTAGTGAAGTGGATAAAAACGTTATCAGAGTGTTTGTTTGACGGTAATAGTCTGGACTAGCAACTTAATGTACACGTACCGTCCGCCGCGCAGTTATTTTTTGGCCACACGTGTGTTTGTAAATAATGTATCTATGTGTTGTTTCTCGTGACGTATTTATAGACTTTATGACGACCTCTTCGGAGTGATATTTATGTTCCTTCATCGCCTGATGATGGCCCCACAGCTGGGCTGAAACCGGTCGCCGCTCATCGGTGACATTGATCACATTGACGGATTAAAGGTATTTTAACCTCTAGATTAATGTTTGTTTGATTTGGCACAAGAGTAGGAAATGAATAAATGCCCCGAAGTGGTGTTTCGAATCAGGTTAATTTAGTTTAATATATATGAGTTAATAATCGAGTATGGTTGCTGCATGGCTTTTAAGGAGGTATCTAAATGCCACGTTACACAGCATCCTCAGGGGAAAACTTTTGCCAGGGTTGTAGGGGATAGGCTACTCCGTAAATATCTTGACGACAAATGGTGGAGTTCACATCACCTCCGTAGTCACCTGCCAAGTTTTGTCCTAATTTTGTATTTTTCCTTGTAAACTAACTGATTTTTCCTTTTGTTTTTGTTGTTGTAAATAATTAAAATAATGATCACTTTAAACATCCACACAGTTTAAACAGCTATGCTAGTCAACAACGCAGCCTTAGTAGTAAGGTAATGAGTTATCAATGACTGACCAAGGATGGGAGCAATACCGACTTACAGACTCATTGACTGGTAAATAACTATTTACCCATTCTGCTTGTCCTAATAAGATTTTTAATAGTCTTTGAGAAAACATTATGAATTTAACATTTTAAATGTTCAAGTAAAAAAGTGTCTAACCAAGAGACAAGATAGGTATAAAACCAAAACTTTCCTTACACAACTTTTACTCTCATAATTATGAATCTAGGATTGGGAAAGGGAAAATACCTGAACTCATTTATAGTTTCTACTCTTAACGACAATCTTTTGTTATTAAAAATCACCCTATGGTTAGCAAGGTGCTATATTTATGTTCAGGGATATTCCCCTTATACAGCTGGACTAGGTGTTAGGGAGTCGAGAAAATCTGAACTTGGTATCAAGGTTATGAAGACTAGCTCCTTTCAGACTAGAGCACGGAAACATACAATCATAGGGGTTATCCAATGATTGGCCATCAGAGCTGTTTAATACTCACACAATTTTCCGTCATAGCTCTATCCTAGTTTATGACCCAGGATACATCTACTACAAGGACGATACAGAGCTGTTACAGAAATACGGGTATGTGTCAACGAAAGATATTTATTCGAATATTGTGTTGAACAACTTTACCTTGGGAATACCAAGTGTTGCAACATAGTTGCATTAGAGTCAACGAACTCCAAACTCAAAAACCGGCGCGTCTAGTTCTGGCCGTCCACTAATCGTTCTTTATGAGGTAGAGGTCTGAACTGGATGCTGGATAAAAGTCTTATTTAGGGAGTCAACTTGGGCGAAATACTTATCATTTATCCATTTTGAGTATAGGAGAGCAAATTGATCGTACAATAGTGTGGACTAGCTAGTCTTGAATGCATTGTAGTTACTCACAGAACCTCGGTAAAATAATGACTTAGACCTTAGGATAAATGAAACACCAGCAATTAAATAATAGTGCTCCTCGGCAAATATATGATCATTAAAGAGATACTGTTTATGTTTAGACTTCATTTGCTCACCCTCCTACTTCAATACACTAAAATCTTAGAGGAAATCTTCTTTGTTCATGTTAGATATTCCTTTGATTAAAGAGTGTACTTTGTAATAAGCTTTGGACATTGATTAACACCCTTATTTGTGACTGCCTACCATTCAAAATTCTTTGCAGGTCCAACTTCCAAATTTTTGTACTAGACCCACCTAAGATATACGTTATATTTAATACAACTGAGTACTGCCTTTGGAAGCACCTCAACAAATCTGATGTACGATACAGGCTTGAGCAGGTCGTTAGTATGTCGGAATATCAACTCCTCGATGTCCCTAGGGCAGGGTCACGTGACACATGATGGATGTAGCACGAGGTTGAGGAGGATCATAAACCTAGGAGGAGCTGTTGACTGCTCCAAGGTCCAGGAGAACCATTTGGTATTTCCTAGGACAAAGCCAAGTAGCGCAGTCCACTCTACTGCTGTGGAAAATGTGTGGAAGGCTATAGTGTTAGTCATCCACAGGAGAAAAGCAATAACGTATGACATATCAACGAAACCTTACGACATGGAGATTTTAGAGGGAATAGCAAAATTATCAGTTGGACAGTTTCTAGTTGTTGATGTTTACTGTGGTGGGTCTTTTCAAAAAGAGAGTCACCACTTTCTTAAAATGCACTGAGGTGTTTAGGTTAGGTTAGTTTAGTTTATGATAATGCCAAACAAGAGGTAGAACTTACATTCTTCTGAACACACGGTAAAAATTGCTAATGCACATTGACGTCTTTGTTTTAATTTTCACCTTAACAGATAGCACAATATCACAGCCTTTGTGTTTGTAAATAAATATTTACATTCTTTGTAGATATCATAAACTAAACGAACGGAATCTAACTATTCTAAACCCCAAACTAAACAGAGCACAACCATATACCTAAATAAGTGGCCGCCACAGTGACTTTGTAATCGATTTCAAGCCGCAATACTAACTTGTTTTCCGTATAATCGACCACCAAGTGACAACAACCAGTGTGTAGCAAAGGGACTTGCCGTGTGACCCGGTTTGATTGGATAACCAGTTGTAGGTCACGTTGCGCAATCGCAGGACTATCTCCGACTTACATCAGAGAGTTCCTTCCGCGTCTCAGGCCGAGAGGATCTTGCTTCTGCTTTCACTGATCCGGCGGCGGAGGTGGGTTGTGCAACCGGGGGTGTTTGAACTGGCCAAGTGACAAGTGGGGTGTTTGAACTGGCTGAATGACAAGCGGGGTGCCTTAACTGGTTGACTGACAAGTGGGGTGTTTGAACTGGCTGAATGACAAGCGGGGTGCCTTAACTGGTTGACTGACAAGTGGGGTGCATGAACTGGCTGAATGACAAGCGGGGTGCCTTAACTGGTTGACTGACAAGTGGGGTGTTTGAACTGGCTGAATGACAAGCGGGGTGCCTTAACTGGTTGACTGACAAGTGGGGTATTTGAACTGGCTGACTGACAAGCGGGGTGCCTTAACTGGTTGACTGACAAGCGGGGGTGCCTGAACTGGCTGAGTGACAAGCGGGGTGCCTGAACTGGCTGAGTGACAAGCGGGGTGCCTGAACTGGCTGAGTGACAAGCGGGGTGCCTGAACTGGCTGAGTGACAAGCGGGGTGCCTGAACTGGTTGTGTGACAAGCGGGGGTGCCTGAACTGGCTGAGTGACAAGCGGGGGTGCCTGAACTGGCTGAGTGAAAAGCGGGGTGCCTGAACTGGCTGAGTGACAAGCGGGGTGCCTGAACTGGCTGACTGACAAGCGAGGGTGCCTGAACTGGCTGAGTGACAAGCGGGGGTGCCTGAACTGGCTGAGTGACAAGCGAGGGTGCCTGAACTGGCTGAGTGACAAGCGGGGGTGCCTGAACTGGCTGAGTGACAAGCGGGGTGTCTTTAACTGGCTGAGTGACAAGCGGGGTGCCTGAACTGGCTGAGTGACAAGCGGGGTGCCTGAACTGGCTGAGTGACAAGCGGGGTGCCTGAACTGGCTGAGTGACAAGCGGGGTGCCTGAACTGGCTGAGTGACAAGCGGGGTGCCTGAACTGGCTGACTGACAAGCGGGGTGCCTGAACTGGCTGAGTGACAAGCGGGGTGCCTGAACTGGCTGAGTGACAAGCGGGGTGCCTTACCTGGCTGAATGAAAAGCGGGGGTGTCTGAATTGTCTGACTGCCCAGCGGGGGTATCTAAAAAGGAGGGAAGATGCATGGATGACAACCTGGTGAACTGTCAAGTAGGATAAGACGTAGTGCAGCACGAAACATGTCATATGTATATAATTGAAATGTTGAAGTAATACAGGTGGAGGTAAGCCTAAGCCTACAAATGCATGTAGTACCGACTTGCTAATTAATCACAACAAGTAGGAGAGGAAGTACTTTTAACAAACAATTGGCCGGTGAAGGACGATGCGGGATTGACCGGCATATAAAAAGAAGAGGATAGGGAGATGAAAGTCTGTTTAGTAGAGGGTGGTGGAGGAGGCAGGGGTGTAAACGTAGGTTACTAATAATAGAGGGCGGATAGCTGGGCAACTTTGCCAAGCAGCAGGTGAAACCATATAAGGCTTACAGGACAAAGTGGATAATAATTTGGCGACTGCGAGAGTGGACGGAGAGTGGACTGCAGGGTGGACGGTAGGTAAATGTAGGTAGCTAAATCTAAAAAATCTTACAAGTGATGAGAGATGCACGATTGCAGATTTAGTCCGTCAAGGAGAATACTAGACCTTCAACAACCTCACAAAAATATTCAGGTCATAAATCTTAAAAAGCTTAACTGCAGAGAGAAATGTTCTGGGGTGAATATCTGCCGAGATACAAGATGGGAGAAGATCTAAGTAAAGTTACAGGTGCAAACATAATATGAGATTCTAATATACAAAGTTTTTTCATGCTTGAAGAGTGATGGACTAATGTGAAGCTAAAGAAGTAATGAACTAGTGTTCTATGCGAGAATGTACCGTCAGTTAAGAAAGTGAAATTGAGAATAGACAAAATATAAATAATCTATTAGTCTAGCAAAATTTGATGCAGTAATCAGGGAAATATAATTATCTTTGAAAGGCACGCTTGTAGGGGTGGTGGTGGTACACCCATAGTGTAAAATGTTTAGAGGAATATCCTAATTACTCCTTTCTAAGCTCAATTCAATATTAGCGCAACAGTAGAGTAGGATGAAAATATGACGCATACCTATAGAAAAACACCTAATCAAAAGAAATGCTATGAAACAAAATAAATTTGAAGATTTAACAACCGTGTATGTTGTTTAATCTTTGGGTTAATTGGACTGTTAGGTTTACTTATATCTAAAGTGTAACTATTTCAGTAGTATAATGTAATTTTGTTTAAACATTGATGTTTACATAAGATCTTAAAATAATGTAAATATAACGTCAACAAGAGAAATCGCTTATACATTTTCACTTAAGCGTAGCTAATGTAATAAATTAATAATTTACAAAGACATAATTATCACCACTAAAATACGATTATTTGGAACTACAATTTATTACAATATTCTCCCTCGTAAGTAAAACCAACAAATTCAGCCTATTATTCCAACATAAGGTAGCCTTCCAATTATTTCTAAGTTTAAGAAAAAACTATTTTGATTTTACAAAAGGAATCCCAGAAAAGCTGAAATGTCAAATTTATTTCCGTAATTTTACAAATCAGGAAAGGGTCAAGGTACGTTGCTTTTGTAAAAACACTTCGCTCAGTAACCAGATACTTTGGCCACCTTCAACCTGACAAATGACAAGTGCTTTGCCACCTAATGTATTCCCAATCCTTATCCTAGGCCATAAAACTCCGGAACATTTTCGAAACTGATTCCTTGAATGAATCGAAACAGCGGAAGTAAAATGACGTGTCGAAAACTTGACCCGAATTGCATCGAGGAGAGCAACAATTTACGAAATTTAATGGGCTATCAAGTTTAAAAACCTCAGTTATACTTCTGATGTGCTCGAAGCGCTGTGATAACCAGTTTGATATATAATAATATAGTTGTTGTCCTTATAGGAGGGCCTTCTGATGATTGATTTTTATGTGATTTCTGTTAATCGCGTGCTGAATAGGCATTAAGTTTTACTCTCGCTAAACATTAAATATATGATATCAATGAAGAATAATATAAATGAGTTGTATATAAAAAACTTGGTTTTAGAATTCATTCTATTTCTGGTTTTTCTCAAGTACTGAAAGTATATTTTTCATCACTAGAGCGTAAAGTGACTCTTTTCGAAACAAGGTCAAGTTGAAAATAGGAAAATTAACGAGTTTTGAAAAGGTATTATTAGTCCATGTGATGAACTATATTTTAGGCGTGATTGTCACACCATTATCTAAGCAAACTAAGCTACAAAACAAAATACCCCCACCGCAGTAAACCTGTAGACTAAGCAAATTTCCATTGGCCTGATTGGATTTACACTAAAATGTTTCCTTAAAATATCACATGTATCCCCCATTTATGGATCAGTATGCAAAGAGTAGTCTGTACTGTGAACGGAAAGCTATCACAATACAGGTAGTTCAAAACCTGTCAATAGTGTAATTTTCCTTTAGTAAAAAATACAATCAGGCTAATATAAATTCGCTAAGTCGGTTTGAGCGGTGGTGATATTTTATTACTGTGTCCACAAAATGATATAAAAAAACAATTCTCATAAAAATAACAAATCTTTTCTTTTATCAATGACTTATTCCATATGATTATTATAGTATTGAATTAAATTTGTTTAAATCAACCTGTATGGTATTGTAAAACCTAGTGCATTTGGTAGTTCTGCTTGTTTGCATTCAAACATTATGAGTTTTTGTTGCCATGGATACCAATCAATTTACTTTTAAAAGATTCACCTCAGAACTTTGAAAGCCCACAGGGCAGAGTCCTAGGCCAATATTGAGCGGGAATAGTTATATATATATCCTTGGAGCTGTAGCTTTATTTTGTCCAATTTGAGCCCAGTCGGTTCAGTATATTTTTGAGTTTAGTTAATACAAACTCACACAGAGACAGATAGACACCACCTCTTCTTTATAATATGGATTTTTCTATTGTGAACAAGCAGCTGTTTAGTAAGGTAATGCATCATTTCGTCTATTACAATCATGTTTGTTTTGATTATACTATCGATATGACGAACTAGTTTGACATCAATAGTTTTCTTGCACGTCATGGATTTTTAGTGCAATAAAAAGTTCCCTGTGTCATCCATTTTCTTGGATTTGACCTAAGTAAATTTTAATCCAGTCGACAACCAGTTTAAATCATTCAATACGACCGATAGTACTTTCGATACAACCGATCGCTCACAATCGAAGTTGATATTTGAGCGAAATGTACTGTTGAAATGTACGAATTGAAACCAGCTGTTTCTACCCAGTGTATTTTTCTTTACTTTAACAACAGTGCATGCTTTAATTATTGAAGGAAACGTTTCCATTATGACCTACCTCTATTTATTCTGGTATTTTCCATTAACAAAATTAAGTATAAGTGTACTGAGTGTACTCGTTAGTAAATTATCCGAAGAGGAAATCGGAAAGCTTAACTATCCATTTATAAAATGTCTTTGTTATTTTTTTAACGAACATCCCATTACATTAGTAACTACCTGAAGCACATTTTTTGTTTCTTAATGCTGTAAAAAGCTAACGATGTGACACATTATGACATCAACCACTCTTTGTCAGATAATTACTCTCTGAGTGTGCAAAACCACGACTTTTTAAGTGGCGAAACCACATGTTAGTGGTCAGGCTACTAGTATCAAATCAAATCAAATCAAATCGTTTATTTGCACATTAGATTTGTATACAATAACATGTAACAAATATCATGCATCGTCAATATTTACAAACTAAAACTAAAACATACAACATGAGAATCTACATATCATTAGTTGTTAGAGTAGTGCGATAATAGGATTGTGTTTAGCGCCAGATTGATGGACTTGTAAAGTATCTGAAAATTAAAGAATCCCTATAAAACATTATATATAGTAAAATAAGATTCCTTACAACCCCACAATTCTGTACTGACTGGGATGGTGGCGTCGTCCTGCAATCCAGCTACAAGGAGGTCAAGAATTGTGGATATTTATAGGAATGCACTGTGGATGCGATACTTCCTGGCGTGGATTAACGTCCAGACTATTGAGTACTACGACTATCCGCAGTACTAACCTGATAATTAGACCAGTGCGTTAATACCAAGGTAAAAATGTGGTTCGGATTCCACTATAAACTGTAGGTCCCTTTTGCCATTAGCTGTATGGCCTAATAATTAACAGCTGTGTCTAAGAATATATGTTGGTCTTAGTCACTAGCAAGACTACAAGATCGCGCCACTCATACTACACTCATCCTTCGCTCATATTTGGGTTGAAATACGCACATAGTGGCGTCCCCATCTTAAATAATTGATATAATTGATAATTCAGAAATATACGTACCGTTTGGAGTTCGTGCGTTAAGATCACATATTTAGCATCAATATTTTTTGTGTTGAACCTGCATGAATTAATATGCTACCAACTGACTATTAGTGATTAGATAGAAGATAGATAACACAACTACAGTCAAACTACTAACCATTTAATGATCGACCAAGTTTTCTTTGCTGGAAGATTGCTGTTGTTTAAAATCTTGATTGCACTATGACTTCTAGAATTTCGAGACATCTGAAATAGATAGAAAAACTTGAAACGTGAAAAACACAGTGGCTAGGCTTACTGTATGTTTCTGTTTCCAGTTATATTAATCGTTATTGTAAAAAGACATGCTTGGTATTTAAAGTTTGAAACATCAACCACAACCTCAAAATATTACAGCTTAAGTCGGATAAAATTAATAGATTCAATCGTTGCACACGAAATGATTACCTTTGATGAACTTAGTAAGCTTTCTTGAGGAAATTAAATAATCTATTAGAAACTTTGTGTCCAAAATCACAGATTGTATACAGTAGTTACCAAGTTATGTAAACATATTCACCACCTTCACAACTAGAAGACAATCGCCCACAATCATGGTGCTGTAACAGTCAACTTCCTTACAGGGGTTTACGACTAAATGGTTGTAAATCAGCGCCTTTATCGACTCTTTCTCCTTATCGCTTCCTATAGGCAGTTTTACGTGGACATTTTAGATCTGTAGGTCTTGTGGTAGAACATTCTACTTAGTAACTAAAAAAACCGGCCACAGCAAACCTGCAGACTAAGCGAATTTCAACTTGTCTGATTACATTTTTACTAAA